GTTCCTCTCCCTCTGTGAAGCCTGAATTCAACTAAAGGGCCATTTGATATAATAATAATACAAATAAATAAATAATTTTTTCTACTGCTATCTTTTGGTGCCGGTCCAAAGAAAAACACTTTGCAAGTTTATTGATTCTTCCAATGGGAACCAATTGATAAACGCTCCTTCAAATCATAGCACCAAGGATTGAGTTTGACCCAATTGTACTTTATAACAATAATAATAAGTATGGGGAGAGAGGAGTGCATAAAGAGTTATAGTGAATAAGAAATCAGCTCAATGTGTTTTGTAAGCCCCCAAGCATGTTGATAAACAACCTACCTAACTCAAACTGACGTAGGTCATCTCTCAGAAAGTGGACTAAATGGAAGTTCTTTATGCTATTTTGCATTTTCAACTATTTTTAATTATCTTACAGACTTCGTGCCTTAACAAAGAGCTTTAAAACCACGCGTTATACAATATAAAAATTAGGACTTGGAGAACATGCCGGTGAGATGAGTCATAAAGGGGCAAGAACAAAGATAACTCAACAAATGACAGCTAGTAGACAAAGTGGATGACTTAGTGAGTGAACTGTCAGTATGTCTAACGAAACTAGAACCAACTCTGTGCCGAAAAATTGTCAAAATTAACCTTGTTTAAGCAATAATTCGAGAAGTGTGTGAAGTTCATTTCGCAATTTGAGCATTAAAAAGATCACACCTACTAATTCCGTGAAATAGAAAGGCTAAATGCTAAGAAATGACCTCATATATATATATTGAAGCAAATGATCAAAAACAAGAAATAAACGCGATATTGCATAAAAGGGTGGAAATTTACAGACCCCGAGAGATTGATCTAACTATGCGTCATTTAATTGCATCAATACTAATTGCCCTTATAACAACTGTTGCCATTCTCGTCTCTTTTTCTGCTACATAAGGCTATAAAAATAATAAAGATAAGAAGGGGAAACTAGAGAAGAATGGCATCGATTTTGCCATTTCATAGTTGTGACAAGACACGGCACGATAAATTTAATTATCATTAATCGATTATTTCATTTTCTAGCCAATCAAATTGCACTATTAAACATGGAATTCCGAATCCAATTTGGGCAGAGTTAATTCCAGGTATATAAGTAGTTTTAGAGTCCGGTCAATATACGTCTGCGCTGTTTAATATCTGTCTTTTCCTCGGCACTTGGGAGGGGGGGGGGGCTTTGTGATTGCAGTGTCTTTATAAGAGCGACTTGACCACATATTTCAACAAAATCAGTGCCCTATATTCTGTGGCGTACAGAAACTCATTTTGTCATTAACCTTCCTTTATTTGGATTTGAACAAATTGAATCACTATGAGAAGCTATGGTTGTATTGTATAATTGCGGCATGGTTTGATGCAATTCATTAGCCTTAGAGCAGTATTCTAATTAAATAATTATAATTTTACGATTAAAGAGACGTGGTGTGCGATAGACTTACCTCCACGTGGTGCACCCTGGGCAACGTATACTCCTACGGCAAAAATGTCTATAAATCGGCAGTTGATTTTTGACTTCAAGCTACCATGACCCTACTGTATGACATATTTGACCACTACACAGTACTCACCTCTCTTTTTTCTCTGCCTTTGTGCCTGTCTGTCGCTTTTACATCTGTAATTCTTTCTTCTATCCCCCCCCCCTCTCGACTTTTTTCACTTTGATGTTCCTTCCCCTCTGTGAAACCTGAAGTCAACTAAAGGGCTAATGATAACTATCAAAACACCCGCCATTTGATAGAAATAAATAAACGATTAAAGATACGTCAAAATTCAGGTTTAATTATGTGAATTCGCACTGGATGTGTTATCAATTAATCTAATTGCCCCAATTTCCAAAATTCATTCACAGATTGTCATATCGACCATCTTGCTGGTTAATAAACTGCCCTGACATCCTCATAGACCTTCGATTTGTCGATTGCAGTGCAGTTCACATCATGTGCACTCAAGCGGTGCTCATTTATGTCAATTTATTCTTGGTTTACTCCTATTTTTCAATAAAATTCCATGGGAATTCGACTTTTTTACCTCACCACAGCGATGTGATCTCCCAATCCAATTTTCCAAAACACACCCACATTTGGATGTGTTGTGGTTAAACTCTGTCAGTTTCCCCACCGCCAACCATACAATTTCTTCCATAAAAATTGGTTCTATGGTCTGCTTTGAAGTCATTTTCAGGTACTTCAAAACTATTTGGTTTGAAAATCTGAATCCTTACTCACACATATAAACGCAAATTCTTACTCCAAATGGACTTAGCAGGATGTTCAACAATACTATTGAAGTTTCTGAAAAATGGACATTCACAGTGAGTCCGAAGTAAGCAAGTTCACCTAGATTGTACACCAAATTACCGATTTTTTTGCTATTTCACAATCGGATTGGATATTTAGTCTTGCCATTGCTGCAATTATTGAGGCAACCAATGGCCAAGCAGGTACCAAATTCACTTCCTTCATAAATTCATACTCACAGTTCGTAGATCTGAGAAATCGTAGCCGGAGTGTAACGTCAGTGGACACCCCGAGGTATATGCCAGACATTCAAAAATCACACTGCCGAATTAAATACCTTTACAAAAGAGTAAAGACACTATTCTTTGCATGTTCTTGATACCAATAAGTCCCCCATCCAAATACAAAACAGACCGTTCTCGACCTGAATACGCGCACATTTTGATTATATCAACAGTATTATACTCCAATTTACAGTCAAGAACGAATCAATAATAGGTCCAGATAATATAGGGCGATTTATGCAATGACGCAGTGAGTGTAGTAATGTTGTATAGATATATATATATATATATATATGTATGTATGTAAGTATACGTGAAAGAACACACCCAACTCCGGAAAAAAAGAAAAAAAAGGAAGAAAGAAAACACAATCGAAAGGATACTGATAGACGACAGGAAGAAAAAGCAAAGGACAATCTCTAAATGCTTACGCGCATAATGGGCGCAATCGAAATTGGGGTAGGTGGTGGTGGTGGGGGGGGGGGGGGGGANGGGGGGGGGGGGGGAGGGAAGAGAGATAATGACAATCGATAATAAGCTTTATTAAAATTATCCCTTCAATGGCATACTACAGCCACCGGCGCCCATAGGTTTAAAGTGTTGCTCCACAAAATGCCGTAGGCAATCCACCTCATTCTGGGTTTGCTCAAGTTCCATTTTCAGTTGACGATTTGTCTCAGACAATTGGGTAACTTTTTTTTCGAGAGTTTCTATAAGTCGAATCTTTCGCTCACGACAGCGTCTCGCGGCATCACGATTTCGCGCGCGTTTCTGTTCCAATCGGTTCATTTGGGTACTCGTTGCGTCACCTGTATTGAGGGGACGTGAAGAGAGGGCCGTGAGACGTCGACGGCCTAGAGACGAAGCACCGCCGTGTAAAGAGGAGTCTGACGAAGAGGGACGAGTGGGTCTGTTGGTATCGCTGTCTAGGAGGGAAGAGGTGTCGTGCATCCCTGCATTGCTGGTGGTTGAAGAGGAAACCAAGTCCAGGTGAAGATCACCACCCATCTCCTGTAAAAGATATCCAAGGGTTAAAAATAAGAAGGCGAACTCACTATTAGTTATTCACATACGTAATTCAACATTCGCTACATCGTAATAATTTGATTCAGCTTCGCGCTATTACTATTCACTTAGTCCTGGTAGGAAACAAACAAGTGGCTGGTTCATCAACTACGTTCCAGTGTCATTTGGTGAAAAGTAAAGAAAGTAGAAGGTCGATATTATCTAAGATACAGAGACAGCCTTCAAGCACCACTTACCATCCCGGTTCATATCACACCACATCATATTTGCCCATTGATGGTTTCTATTGGCTGCTCATCAGCGAACAAAAAAGCTGGATCTATCGCCTCCTCCACCATACTACCACAATAGACCCCCTCTTTATCAGAACCCTAATCCCACTCCCTCAATATTAATGTTCTACGGCCTGCAGCACTTTCAATTCCCACCACATTCATTTCCAATAAAAACATGATCCTATTTAACTCTTAGCACTTTTTTTGTCTCTTTGGGAGAGGCCATTAGCTTTCAACTAAGTCGGATTATCAAAGAAGTTTTGGAATCGGTATTTTACGTCTACTACTTAAACCTATTCAAAACAGGCGAATTGGGCCCTGAATTTTTCCACATTTCGTGTGGTTAGAGAGTAAAGAGGGGGTAGGGGGGTTAACCCAATTACTGCCATCCTCTCTCTCTAAGAAATAGACGTCTAAGTGACTGGATTCCCATATATTACTACTTCGTATCACTTTCGCTTATAGAAGGCAAATGGTGTCCACAAATCGCATGATTAGGCATCCAAATAAGACTGATGGATCAGCAAGTTTAATTGCACGAAAATGAAAACCGCATTCTTTATTGACTAAAACCACGAAGAGGCCAAAATTTCAACCCGATCCACGACTCAAATCGCTTCTTGATATTTTGGATATTGACTGACTGCGCCAATCGATACTACAAATCAGGGAGCTTGACAAAGCACTTTCCCTACCGCTGTCTCCTTCTATGCGGCCCTTGGTGTTGTGTTCAGTGATAAACTTACGGGTTTCACATCCAGAGCAGTAGCCTTAGCAACCGCCGAAGGATCAGCCATAAGATTTCGCGCAACAGCAGCAACACTACTAGCGCTGTTGGGCAATACCAATTGGGATGTGTTAGGTGAAGAAGTGGCGGCGGCGGCGGCAGCAGCAGCAATAGGAGAAATGAGGATGTAATTCTGGCTATTTCCACTGCCATCCGTCAGACCTCCGGCAGTAGAGATGATGAAACTGCTCTGCGGAAGGAGACCGGACGCGGCTGCTGTGGTGGAGGCTGATTGGACACCTGCAGCGCCGACTCCTGTGCCGGTTATTGTTGTGGATGGGGTCGTCAGGTCCACGTTCGTCCCCGAAGCGGCCACCGTCGCATCGGCGAAGGACTTTGTCAATTGCGGAATAAAACCACTGCCAAAATGTAAATTCTAATCAACAAATAGTTATGCTTACACTACATAGAATTCGCAAATGTTGACAGCTGACTAGGGAACAAGGAAAATTACTTAGTACCAAGAGCCGCAAGATATATTGATATCAAATGGCAGGTGTTTTGATAGTTATCATTAGCCCTTTAGTTGACTTCAGGCTTCACAGAGAGGAGGAGGAACATCAAAGTGACAAAAAGTCGAGAGGGGGGACAGAATAATGATTCACAGATGTGACAGAGACAGACAAAAGAGCAGAGAAAAAGGTGAGGTGAGAATGTGTAGGTGGTGGAATTTGACATACAGTGGGGTCATGGTAGTTTGAAGTGAGAAGTCCACTGCCGGTTTATAGACTTTTTGCCGTATGAGTATACTTTGTGCGGTGTGGCAGTGATCAATGCTCCCACTAGGGGGTCACGAGGTCGGTTTTCATTGATGGTAGGACACGCTTTCATCCCCTCCAACCCCCCCCCCTCCAAAATCCTGGTTTTTCCTTTTACCCACTTAATAGTCACTCACTATAGAACAATTAAAGTAGTGTGGACTGATTGAGTACTGTCGAGATTGCCTGCAACAAAGCACACCTTATAAATTCAAAGAGACGCAATTCAAGCAAATAGATACGACCTTCAACACACACACACACATTGAAGGCGAACCTCGATACAAACGACTCTGCAAAAATGTGGACGTGAGGCGAGAAGGCGCAGGAGGAGTACCGATAGACGTGAACCCAAAGATGATTTGGCTATAAGCAGTGTGATCAGATGTGGAAGAACTGCGTAATTTGAGGACATGCAAAGTTCTAACTAAACTCAACATGACATGACTGAAACCAGGAAAGCAAATTTATATGTCCGATTCTTAGTGCTCTGGAGAGTGTACTATGTGGGGCCTATTGTGCACTTAAATATGATTTTCCTGTCATTCCGCATCAGGCTATTGCAAATATTTGCACTACTTTTGCACTCAAAAAATGTGAACCAAACCAATTGTGCAATTATTGCAAGGTCATTGACGAACAAAGCACAATAATATATCACATCAAGAAATCAGAATGACAAACACAACAAATGAAAGTGTAACAAAAAAAATCAATTCGGGTGAGTACAAAAAAGACAACGCGCTCTTTGACATTGATAAAAAATTATGACAGAATTATTATTTCAATGTGGATAATATGAAAAGGCCAAGTCGCCAATATATATGGCGAACATGCGCCTAACCTAGGAGAGAGTAAACAGAATACTTAAGGATGTGAGAATTTAAATAAATGCCTTTTAGATGCACCTATCTGGGTAAAAACTCGATCCAGAAAAACTCATTGACTTAAAAACACGATATCTCGGGGAATTTTCGCTTAGATTTCCAACGCAACATTAAAAAACACACATTTTCTCGAAAAGAAAAGCTAGTTTTCCAGTGTGACTCCTCTTAGGCGATGAATGAATTAATCACTCACCACGACATCATAAAATTGTGGAGAAGTAATGACTCATTCCAAAAATACCAAAACGAAGCTAACCACCACCTCCCACAAGGACGAGCGAGTCATCAGAAATTTGGAAAAGGAGAAATGGAACGCGAATGAGATAGGCAAACGGCAAACAGCGCTAAAGTAGAATTAGGGAATTGGAGGAAGAAGACGACGACAATGATGGAAGTAGTGAATAATCCATCAATTGGCATAAGGACTCCGGGATTAAAAAGCGAAATGTTTTGATGGATGCTATGAATCCAACATAGTCAGTAGGCTGAATATTCGAAAACGACCAATTTAAAGAGGCTTTACAACCAAACCCTCTTTTAGAACTTGTCATCATCATGGGAAATTTCTGAGCACAGTTGGTAGGGTGGAACTGGATGACCTTACCACATTTGAATATTACATTCGCCAATTTGGGCCTATTTTAAATTGTGTCTAGTGGTTCACTGCGCCCAAATTTCGACGCTCTAAAATGAAAGCTTCAAGATCAAATTAAATCCCAATCAATCTGCCCTGATCATCGAGTTGCCTTGACCAATACCTCTCAACAATGAGGTACCCACGTCTAATCTTTATCAACTTAAATCGGTAGAACATAACAAAAAAGGATGTTCAAATTTGAACTGATAAACACGCATAGGATGATCTAGAAAGTTAGAGAAGTGAATTGTTGAAACAAAAGGTATATCAAACATGCTGGAAAGAAATCTAACCGCTCAAAGCAACTAAAGGTACACATATAGGGGGCGGGGCGGGGAGGGGGTTAATATCGATATCAACATAGAATCTAATCCATCTCGCGGTAGAATAGTTATACGAATCTTGTAATGAAAAGTAGAATTTGGCAGTAGGTGACAAGCTATCTATGGCAGTGAAGCAGACCTAATTGTATCACCAAAAACATTAAAAAAACTTACTAGTTCAAACAATAACGTAATATTGGCCAATAAAAACTAAAGGGGAAAAGATGTAAATCAATATTATGATTATATAAACGAAGAGAAATGGGGAAAGCACTGCACATAGAAACTCAAGACAAAGGATAATATGAAATGGGAGATTTGCCAAGGAGTAGAGAACAGGAATGGAACAGAATGCAACCGTGAACCGAAAGAAATCTAGCGGTAACTCAGTCCGCGTCGAGTGAAAAATTCCACCCTTAAGATATAATCACGTGACTGTTCCTAATCTGCCAACCTGAACAGTTCTAATCTATTTTTAAAAAACTGCCCNCCCCCCCCCCCCCCCCCCCCACCCCAGTGTATTCCCACTTGGGTATTCGGTGTCTCTGTGTATGGTTATGATACTAATATAAAGCTGTCACTACTGAAGACCCCACGGAAAATACACTGGCGAAACTGTACAACCCCATCGACGACCTAGTTTGAAAGGGGGAGAAATCTGGTGGCTTAAACGGGGGTAGAGATAGTTCTTGATATTTGAGACTGATTGGCCACTTGGTTAGCCGGTAATGTAAAGGTGAAGAGACTTCACTCTTAGGCATGAGCAAGGAAGAATAGTAGGCTAATGAATTGATTCTCGATTCTGTCTCCCATCGGTTGCTGAATCCCACAAAGAATGCCTTAAGAGTGGGCGTATAAATCTCAAATTATGGCAATCAGTTGGAAATAGGTTCATCAGTGTCAATATTTTGAACTGGCGTGCACGATAGACTTACCTCCACGTGGTGCGCCCTGGGCAACGTATACTCATACGGCAAAAAAACCTTTTAACCTGCAGTTGACTTCTGACTTCAAATTACCATCACCCCACTGTATGTCGTATTCGACTACTTTCGCAGTACTCACCTCACCTTTCATCTACCTTTGTGTCTGTCTCTTTTAATCTTTAAAACACTCTTTTGTTCTGTTTTTTTCGATTTGATGTTCCTCCCCCTCTGTGAAGTCTGAAGTCAACTAAAGGGCTAATGATAACCATCAAGACGCCCACCATTTGAAATAAATATATTTTGAATTAAGTACCAGTCAAGTTGGGCACATAAAAGAATACGATGTAATGAACTTTAGCATAACTATTTCAACAAGAACACGAGCAGCAACATCATTTCAGAAAAATGACACGTAGTAGTAGGAAAATTACATCAGCTCATATCACCACACAGAATAAAATCAAATTTGTTCAGAACACAAAGCAAAAAATCATAACCGATTTTCCTGAACATGATCAACATGATGCCGACATCAGATAAAGTAATCATCATTTTGAGAGTGACAACCACAACTCATAGGTGTATGACATTAAGCCTAAAGAACATTTGATCACCAAATCATGGCACTATTCTAACTCAATTCAGCAGTCACCATGTTTTCGTCTCAAGGTGATTTCACAGCTGGCGCATTAACATCATACACACACACACACCCACACACACACCCCAACGGGAAATCGATTAATTAGCTAATTACAAGAGGTAGTATGAAACTATACAACTCTTTGAAAACCGAATTATCTGAAATCGTCGAAAGTTCAGTCCAAACTATCAAAAACCCCAATTAACAATTGATCCATTACTTCAATATATATACATCATCATCACTTTCCTTCCCAATCACCTTATTGACGTCATCTTGTGACAGATGAATCCGATTTATCTTCGTCTCCGAAAAGCCGTCATGGAAATATTGAGAGAAGTTAAAATTTGACGCACTTCTAGGCAATAGGCACAAAACAAACTTGTGTATTTAATACAATGCACAAATAAAATGACAATATTTTAATGGAATCAATCGAATGATATCAACCCCCCCCCCCACCACCACCACCCTCCGCCCATGCATACACACAATTAGGGACCACTTTCTGCTAATACTTAATTTATTCCAATTAAATGATCGCAATATGGCGTGGTAGCCCATTAGAGATTCGCACATTTTGTGGTAAAACAGTCAATTTTTGAAAAGGAAGTTCTCTAGCAAAAGAACCTTACTCTCAAACACAACAGCTGATGTGTATCCCCTTCCTAGTTGAATGGACCATTTAAAGCTGTTACTCCCTCCTCCTCTAGTTATCGGACCAGTTCCATTAAATGGGTCAAGAAAGTACATTCGCACATATCGCTCCACAGGAAGGAATAAGGTCCGAATCACAAATAGGCGTCCACTCTTTTCACTAAGTGGCGAAAGATCAAACACACCTTTCTACCCACAAACGGGAAACAGAGAACTCGAATTCGGACACGAGAGAGGGGAGAGGGGTCTATAATGGTAGCTAGTGTCGCGACTACGGAGATAGAGAGAAAGCTCACGTGCTCGTTTAACGCCTCTAGATGCAGTGGTGAAGAAATTGCGGAAACCGATGGCCCTCACTAAAAACAGCTGATGACTCATATGTGAGACGGTGCATCATCTTTGTAAATTACTCATTTTAGAGAGCGAGAGAGAGAGAAAGGAGACCGTGTTACACAAATATGTGTTTCGGCCTGCAGCGGCTACTATTGAGACCACTAATAAATTGTATGAGTAATCGGAATTCACATTTGCACGCAGACACAAACACAATTTCAAGAGCACCCAATAAACGAATGCATGACTCAGAGGCGAATAAATAAAAGACGCATGGATGATGAATGATAGGCCACCTCAATCAAAAAGTATCTTTATATTACAACAGGTGCAAATTTGGAGGTGCATAGTGTCTACCGAATTCGTCTCGGAAGCCGATTGAATTAAGCTGTTCAAACAAGGGAATGACCCACAGAGTGAGTAGGGGATTCGAACTTTTCACCAAAAAGGCCCGAGAGTGATATTGTTCTACAATGATGGGCGCTGGATAAAGGAACCTTGAAGCTACTGTATCATCTTTATTGAGGGCAAGAAAAAACGTTGACTTAAGTGGTCAAGAAATGGGTAACAGAATGAGTTTCCAACGCCTCTTTCCCAATGAACCTGGAAAAGTTTCACTTTCAAAAAACTTACAAGCAACCTTACTGAATATCACGAGAGGGAGAGAGAAGGATCCTAAATTTGTGGATTGAAAAGAACCCAGTTGGGTCAGAATGATTGCGTGATGATCGATGTTAGACCAAACTAAATCACATTGTGTTGGTGACAGTTAGTTACATCACCAAGGTCGAGGCAATGCGAAAATATATGAATTGAATATGCGTGCACAGAAGTGATGATTCATAAAAAAATGGATAACGAAGTCATTACAAATTAACAAAATTTATCAACAATTGATCTCTACAAAGATATTATAAAAAGTGAGTTTCTCGCTAACTAACGGCTTTCGTAACTGGAAAGACAGGAGCGGAACCACTGCCAATACCTTAAATTTGGTCAATTCCAGTTTGCATGCATCTTTCGGCGTACAAGTGAGACTAAGATAATGAACGAGAGTAAAGGCTGGTAAATGTAAGCCTTCACACTCTTGAAAGCCACCATCTGCAGTTTTTAAACCTCTCAACCGCCTTCAGGGATAAGACACCACTGAACGCTCTACAAAAATACCAAGAATTTTGAGGAGTAAAAAGGCCTAACGGGAATTTGAGTGAAGTAGAAACCCTTCTCTCATCAGACCCAAATCTCCATCCAACAGCAAATACAAGATTAATAGCCATGTAAACCTCATTCAACTCGTAATTTTGAAATAAACGGATGTTCAAATTGACTAAACAAAAAGTTTTTCTTTGATGAGCTGGAAACTCACTGAAAGAACCGACACTTGACGATTTAGGGCCTGGGTGAAGGGGATCACGTAAAATGCTGCCTGCTGATTGGCCGATGAGGTGGCGAAATGTTAAGCGAAATTCAGACGGGTCTAAGTATCACGAGTGCATGAATAACGATGCAATCTCAAGTGTAAACAACGCCACACATTCAAGTTCAAATAAGAATGGGAAGGCACTTAGTGAGTAATCAGTACACGTAAGCACCGGTACTTAATGACTCATCAACATTTAATCACCGAATATTTTGTCACTATAGCAGCAAACATCCATTGTATTTTCCTTAAATTATTGTATTGATCGTCACCTACCAATGGCGTGAAATAAAAGGCCAATTGTAATAGAACTACGCAAACACGTAGCAACGACGTCACTGATCCACGAACCAATGACCTTGAACCAAGAGGTCATTGCAGGGACAGAGGGTAATTCGCGCAAATGATTTAACCAAAGCGACTAACCTTAGGCCGTACTTTAAGACTAAGCATTTTTTTTATTTTTTAACATTTTCAGAATATTTAATGTGATGAAAGATCACGTTCGGATATTTGCATTAATCACGATAAGCTTCATCACCGATATCAGTTCACGTTTGCTTAGTTAATTCGATTAAAGGGAAACGATAAATTAGCATTCGCATCAAAGTATACATAGATATACAAACGTGTAGCAAATTTTTCATGAAATAAAGAACCTACCAAGAGAGCTATATGTTTGGTAGACTTATGAACATGGTGAAGATGAAGTGCCCCTTTAGGTAGATTGAAGGATAATAGCAGCTCCATCTGTTTTGAAAGCAGTCTCAAGGAAAAAACTTTCCAAGTCCACATGAAAAACCTTATGTGGCTGGAGGCAAGATATAATAATAAAGATTTCACTCTCCGATATCTGTTGCTGAACAGAATTAGACATCGCAGTCGGACTGCATTTCACAAGATGACTACCGAGCAGTATTGATTTTGATTTGAGAAGACGCGAGGTTTGACCATTTTTGGCGAGTTAACTACAAGCATTTTTGAACCATTTAGAATATGCCGCTTTTAACAGGCAGATATAAAAGTATGACTCACTAAGCTAAGAAGGGAAGGAAAGGGGAGATTTAAACCCACAAGATAAATAGAGGAGACAGCGAACAGCTTTACGCACTTATGGTGAAAGCAATAAGAAACCGTTCTCAAAAGCAACTTAAACGTAAAATGGGATGACTAAACAGGAGTGTTGAAAACAAGATCATAAATTTAAAAAAAGATCAGTCCATCTCAAATAAGTAGTAAACAACATATTTTCGAGGGCATTAAATCCCACTAAAATTGAAAGCAAAAATTTTAACCTCTGACAAAATGGGCCACCATAGGGGCGTAGAGGGGGTTAAAGTCATGAGCAGATGAGAGAAAAATAAACTATGCATAAAACTGACTCCCATAAAGAAGTTTCCATTAAAGCATGAAATTTGGAGTGATTGATAACTTACTCAAGAACCTTGTTATCGGGTGTGGAGGTTGCAGAACCAGCAGTATTTTGACAGCTTTGAATAAATTGAAGAAGCTGAGGTGTCAAAATATCCATAGAGATAGCAGTGGAGCCAATTGTCAGGGAATCCGGTCGAACGACCGTTTGATCACCTGTACCAGTCGACGAAGAAGGCAGACTCGTCCGCCAAGAGTTTTCCTCAGACATTGCAATGACTAGAAAGAAATTTTTTGTTGTAAACACAATAACACATATTACGCAAATATAGTAAAAAAAGAATACAAGATTAGAGCATCAACATATGACTTATTTTGCATTTCAGCAAATGCGATCTAGCTAAAAACATGTAGAACGCCAAAGGAAAACTAATAAATAGTAAGAAAAATAATCAATCCCGTTTAAGTGGAATAAAAATAACGAGAAAAATGAAGTTAGAACAAGAAAAAACTATAAACTTGTGCAATTAACTTCTTATAAAGAACACAAAAAGAAAAAATATAAAAAAATCGACAGCTTACCCGACAGTTTTCCAATACAATTAGTGACGAAAAGCGCGGTGATTACCCTATGGATAAAACAACCCAAATGCACATTTAGTATCAGGAATTATTAAATTGTGTTATTTACCGCAATTATAAAGATTTTAATACAATGTAAATTAATTGTATTATTAAATTTAGTTCAAGATTTTGCCTGTTATCTCATTTTCTGAAATTTTGAATTTACCGAGAGATCACGCTTACAAATTTCTTTAATCCTGTTCAAAAGCGTTTAATTTAACGCATCTATAGTCGTTTTTATTTAATTTTAAACAAATTAATAAACAACCATTCTTTCCTCGAGAGGCGACATAAGACTTTTAGATATTAACTAACGGAAGCTAATTAAATGGATATTCGCAATCATCACTGTCGTAAAATAACGATTAGTGATTTTCTTTTCCATTAGGCGTATTGCCTAGACAAGTAGAGAAAAGTGTTTAAGCTGGAATATTTCCAAGAATAAAAAACGAATTTCTGTATAAAATAAAAAATGTTTGAAAGGAAATTAAATTAACGATTTCTGCTTTTTCATAAATGTACGATTGCTACCTAGCAGCATTTTCAATCAGACCCTATCATTTATTAAACGATTTTATTATTAAGTTTCGACTTTGCAATACATTTTGGAGACTAATTAGCTTATAACAAGAACGAACTAAATATATACCTTACGAACATAGGCAACTCCCCCCCCCCCACTCCCCTACTACCTCCTCTATATTCTATATTCACACTTCTATATCCCTAATCCTGTTTCTTTCTAAATGTCCGGCTATCTTAATAAAATGCTTTTTAAACGGTATTAACCTTATTAGCCACTGTAAATAGTCATAACTTTACAGAATTCATTAATAGCAAGGGATTAAGCAAGTGATCGACCCTGAAAGTTGCAGCATGTTATTAAGTATCCAATGCTGTTAATTATTGACAGTAGGTTTTTAATATTCCTTGAATAAAATTGTTTGCCCTTCAAAAACTCCACCAATTAACCTGGTCATAATGTGTGTTCTATACCCTCACTCTATCAAGTTGCTGAAGAAATGAGAACATTTTATTTTGAATTGGTACTATTTGATACTTCTTCTAAAATTTATTTTTTCTTTCTGATTCATATATCTTTCCTCAATTGCTTCCCAAAGTTGTAAATTATCATGTTGCATCTGCCAAATTTCTTTATCTGACCCACTTGTGTTCTATTTGAATTTATTAACTTCGAGCCAGACGAGACTGACTTCTTGCCCTGTCTGGGATGAAAATAGTAGTATCTGGGAGAGAATGGTGATTTTGAAAATGAATCCTGCTTTTTAACCCTGTTTCCTATTTCTTATTTCGTCTTTCAATCTACTGGTGTTAGGTATGAAATTACGTAATTCGACGTCCTAGTGGTTCGGCATGCTCCTATTATTGTTCAGTTAGAAACAGAGAGCCACCCAAAAAGCCGAAATATACGAATGTAATTAATTGTATCAGTTACTGAGAGAAAAATCAAAACAGTAGTTCTTTAATAAATCCCTGACACTGTGGCATTATAGGCAATGTGTTTGCTGACGCACTTACTAAGAAGGGGACAACAATTTTGCTAGGCATAGACCGGCCGATGTCTTTTTGCACAATGAAGACCTTAATCAGGAGAGGATTCGAGACCTCAAGGTGCAACAAACTTAAAACTCGAACAAAGGAGAAGCAGTGGACAGTGGCACTCTCTGACATAGCCGACTGGCCAAGAATCGAAGCCGCTGCTGAGTTTAGACTACGTACCGGGCATGACTGCCTTTCAAAGCACCTTTACAGAATAGGAGTATACGCTCAGCCAACATGCCTCATATGTGACCTACAGGAGGAAATGGAGAAGACCCACCTGATTCTGTGTCCAGCGCTATAGACGACGACCGAAACCCAGAGATATCGGGAAGCCAGAAGACAACTAATGAACTACTGTTAACTGTCCTAAAGTCTAATGATAAACTTCATGAAGCCTGCCATTTGAAACAATAATAATAATACCATGTTGAGAAGCTACAATTGCGTTTGAAATGATGATATGACAGGATCTAATGGTTGTGATGAGGTCAATGTGTGCATCTGAAAAGGTGAGTACAAAATGGGTCAAGGTTAAAGTGAGGAGAGCTCAAAATTAGATGACGCATGCCGAAAAGAGATATGAGCTCAGTTTCTTTTTTAATTAAGCTTCCACTATACAAATTGTATGTAAGGAATTTTTTATCAAACGCCTAATTAATTAAATTCTCACGAATTAAATACACTTTGAAGAGGACATGACTTAACACATCATCTTAATAACTTGTTTATTCTGATTTTTTAATTATAAATCAGTCTCAGTGTTTGATCTTGCCCCTTATACTGGCAAACCCAATTCTATTAAATCTTTTGCTGTACTTCGATGACCCATTGAACTTGGTTTATTTTCAAAACTGCACGATCACATGAGGTCAGTAGACCTGAAAACCACAAATTTTATTCTTGATCATGGATTGTATTCAGGCAGGAGGAATTGAAAATTGTACAATCAATAGGGAAGATGGTCTAGTGGAAGTAGAGAATTAATTCATACTACCATTTAAAAGATAGACATTTCTCAGTCCAAATTTTAGTATTGAACCTGTGGGACACGTCATCGCATGCCTGCACGCCAGGATTGGGAGGTGCGACCGTACAAATAGTGACCAATCATTAACCTCTGTTTAACCTAATCCGCCATCCTGATCATGATTAAGCTTCCTTCGTGAACACTTTATCCGCAATACTCGTACTGAATAAACGTGCTCCGTGCTACACGTCTGTTTACTTTATAGCTGGGCTATAGCTTAGCTGGTTCTGGGAGTCTAGCTAGATGTAGGAGAATCCGCCATAGAGATTTCTGATTCAGTCAGGCTTTACTAGCGTAGCAATCCGCCACAGAACCTTCGGATTCTACGATGCTTAAGATGTGGAGGATTGCCTTAAATTCTCTTCAGTAATATCTACGGCAAGATTCCTGCAACAATATAAAAGGCAAAAGACGTATGGAGTGAAGTTGTGTGTCTGTCACGGAGCTTAGTCATTAGAATACAATGAAGGCTTTGTTGGACGATGCAAGGACTATTGATTGGTGGCTGACTGAGGAGTCTCTGCGCTCACAACCGCACAGTCTCACCTTCGAGTCTGTCTTTGTTCATCCATGACATGACATTACTGTGACCTCTACAAAAGCTTAATGAAAAATTGATTGTTATACTAGGTCGTTCCTGCCACTTCAGTAAAATGCCTATTTCAAAAAACTAAAATTCGACGAATTAAACAACAGTGATGTTATCTAGTCTGAGTTCACCAGAGTGCGCGCATGTTTAATTCTCAATATTAATTCTATTTACTGACCTTTTTTAATTGTTCTTATAGTCGAATTAAAATTGTTTTGAATTCATGCTTTTTACTGATTTGTCATTCGAATCAATACCACACAAAAAGACTGTTAAGTAATAATTAATTATCACATGTTTTATGGCCTTTATTAACATATTAATCTTCTAGTTTTGTAATAACAATGTCGAAATTTATTTCGCCACGGCGGTATAATACACCCAATTTGTAAGAAGTAATGAAAAGGGACTTTTATTTACAACAAATGGCAGGTGTTTTGATAGTTGTCATTAGCCCGTTAGTTGACTTCAGGCTTCACACAGTGGAAGGAACATCAAAGTGAAAAAATTCGAGAAGGGGGGAACAGAAGTTTTCAAAGACAAAGGTAGAAAAAAGGTGAGGTGAGTACTGTGAAAGTAGTCGAATATGACATACAGTGGGGCCTTGTTAGTTTGAAGTCAGAAGTCAACTGCCAGTCCGAATATGACATACAGTGGGGTGATGGTAGTTTGAAGTATAAAGGCAGAGAAAAGGTAAGATGAGTACTGTAGAAGGGTTTATGACATACAGTGGGGTGATGGTAGTTTAAAGTCAGAAATTGTGACATATAGTGGGGTGAGGGTAGTTTGAAGTCAGAAGTCCACTGCCGGTTTATAGACTTTTTGCCGTATGAGTATACTTTGTAACATACAGTGGGGTCATGGTAGTTTGAAGTCAGAAGTCAAGGCATACAGTGGGGTCATGGTAGTTTGAAGTCAGTGGTCAACTATACAGTGGGGTGATGGTAGTTTGAAGTGAGAAGTCAACTACCAGTCAATAGACTTTTTTCCGCATAAGTATACGTTGCCCAGGGTGCACCACATGGAGGTTGTAAGTACACGTTGCCCAGGGTGCACCACGTGGAGGTATGCCGTTTGAGTATACGTTGCCCATTGGTTTATAGACTTGTTTGCCGTATGAGTATACGTTGCCCGTCAATGGGGTGATGGTAGTTTGAAGTGAGAAGTCAACTGCCACAGTGGGGTGATGGTAATTTGAAGTGAGAAGTCAACTGCCGATTAATAGGCTTTTTTGCCGAATGAGTATATGTTGCTCAGGATGCACCACGTGGAGGTAAGTCTATCGTACCCCCCCCCATTTCTTAATAGAATTAATTATTTAATAATTCTTGTTACGGGCTGTGCGATAGACTTACCTCCACGTGGTGCATTCTGGGCAACGTATACTCAAGCGGCAAAAAAGTCTATTAACTGGCAGTTGACTCCCGATTTCAAACTACCATGATCCCACTGTATGTCATGTTCGTCC